TGGCGGGGAGGGGGAAGGTTACGAAGCGGGGGTGGGGGGGTTGGGGGGGGGAGGTGAAAAGTGGCTGCTGGGGGGAGTGAGCTTAGATTAGAGCTTGGAGGGAGGAGGGGCAGGCAGGGCAGGCTTAGTTTGGAGGGAAGAAGGTGAGCAGTCTGGGTGGGAAACCCCAAGGCTCGCTCCTGGATGGACATGGGCTTCTGGGGTCAGCTCTCCCCATTGCCCCAGCCCTTGGCTCAGTGTTGGACCTGGCTGGGGATTGAGAACAACTGGGGACGGGAACCAGCTGCACCCGGGTAGTGTGGTCTCAAAGTCCTGCTTGCTTGCAAAAGTGAGCTGGGGAAACTGGGGATGAGCAGGTGCCCGTGTGTCCCCTCTACCCACGGGCTCAGCTTTGCAACCTTATTGCACTGGGGCAATACCAAGGTGGGCAACTGCAGCCACATAGCTCCCATTCCAAAACCTTTCCAGTGTTTTCCTTTCCCACAGTGGTGTGGAGGAAGGAGAGCACAAGGTACAGCTAGGCATCGTGGTGAAACGCTATTTTAAAGTCAGTCTTTGGAAAGTGCTGCACCTTTATCTTTCTCAAAGCCCTGTAAGATGAGAATTAAATCACTGGGACTTTATAGATAGGTTAAACTGGGTTTTCCTATAGCATCCAGCAGGTGTAACTCCCTTGGGAAACCCCCGCATAGATTTGCCCCTCCGGAGTAATCAAACATGCCGAATTCTTTCCAGCAAAACCTTTGCACAGCTCTGTGCTATCAGCACGTTTCCTGTTTACACATTTTTACTGAGCACACAAACCGGTGGGCAGCATGGTCAGCTGCTTGCCGTCCTTTCACCAGATAAAACCATAACTCGTCGGGTTTCATCAAAACAGTGGGATGCAGGGCTTTGTCCTGGATTTAGGCCTGTGCCGCCATGCTCTTTTCCAGTGATCCAGGTAACTTCCAGGGCCCATTTGTCCAGTAAGTCTGTATGGTTCGTTTTTCGCAAGAATGACAGGCACAACACCAGCTTCATGCCTTTTGCTCTGATTCCAATATTAGTGTGTTTTACTGCTATTCATGGCTTTGGCCACCCACCCACAGAGTTATGTCGTTTGAACAGAAGTTTTGCAGCTGTCAAAAATGCAAATACTTAATGGGACATTACGTAGTAGCAGTACCTAATTTACTTACTTCTGCTACTATACTGAAACAATCAATATTAGGTTTATGGCTTAGGTAAACAACAGAGTTGCTAAAGTCTATCATGTAACACTCTTGTTTGCTTTTTTATTTTAGCTATGGATTTCTGTTACTGCTCCTTCATACCATGAGAGCTGGTAAGTTCAGAACAATTCAGTTAAAAATGAAGCTGCTCTCCCTTAACGTGTTTGGCCAAATATGCAGAGTATTTGTAGTATGCACAATATAAACATCTGTATGTTTTCAGCAAGACGCTTAAGAATTCCTCAGTGTGACATGCATCAGGGAAAGAAGAAAAATCAGTTTCTGTCAGTTTTGGTACGGAGAATAGCAAGGGACCTTATGCATGCTCTTGCTTAGATTGCTCTGCTTGCTTTTCAGACATCCCTGTGTATTCATCTCTGCCAACAAAAGGCCTTAGAAGTGGGGTAATAAGGGCTGTTGTTAAGCAGATTTAACATGCCCGCATAAAGTCCATACTCATATTATGACTAGAATTATACAACACTGTATCAAGTACCTGATATTCATAGAATCATAGAATGGTTTAGGTTGGAAAGAACCTTGAAGATCATCGAGTTCCAACCCCCCTCCCATAGACAGGGACACCTCCCACTAGACCAGGTTGCCCAAGGCCATGTCCAGCCTGGCCTTGAACATCTCCAGGGATGGGGCCTCAACAACCTCTCTGGACAACCTGTTCCAGTGCCTTACAACCCTTAAAGTGAAAAAAATCCTCCTAATGTTTAATCTAAACCTGCCCTCTTCCAGTTTATAACCATTCGGTCTCGTCCTGTTACTACATGCCCTAGTAAAAAGTCCTTCCCCAGCTCTCCTGTAGGCCCCCTTTAGGTACTGGAAGGCCACAATAAGATCTCCCCGGAGCCTTCTCTTCTCCAGGCTGAACAGCCCCAACTCTCTCAGCCTCTATATTAGTAAGTCTTTTACTACAATCCAAAAATTCCCTTCAAAACAAAGGTAAGGTTAAAGGACATCACTTGGTGATATTTAAATGTTTTCAGAGTTGTCTCTGTTTTTGCTTAATCACTGAGAAGGATCTCAACCAAGTCATGAAAAAAAGTCCCCAGCCCCAAAATCAGGACAAACTGTACCAGCTAGAGTTTCAATAGGTGCTGGCTGACTGGTTCCTAAATAATACCAGTGATAGAGGTGCACACATCTTCTCAAGCGATGCTTTCCAGACCATCGCTTTTCCCGTTGCTACAAGGGGTATCCCAAAGCCTGACCTGCAGCATCCTTGTTGCAGTTCAAGCTCGTTACTTCTTGTCTCGCCCAGCAGAGGATAAGGGCCTGGAGGACGTACTGCCTTCCTCCCTGCAAGTCCCGAGTTTGCCTCAGTGGTACTTTTAAGGCAGGGTGCCCAACTCAAACGCTTTGGTCTGAGCAACCAGTTGCACCACAGCGGTGTTGGCTGCTGGGGTGGAGGAGAGGCGGTGCATCCCTCCCAGCAGGGAGGCTGCGCTCAGAGTAGCTGACCTGCGCCTTCTGCGTCGCTCGTCAGCCGGCTCACGCCTTTGCCTTGGCCACCGGGGAGGACCCACTGCCTTTCTCATGTCTGGAGGCCAGGAAAAGTACCCTGAAAGCCAGATACTGCGCTGGCCTTCACCTCAGGTGGCCGTGAGAGGTTGTAAATGTCTAATGAATGTGTCACTGGAGGTATCTGGGCATGGCAGTTTGCCAGCTGGGTATATTTGTTGAGAGGGTGACACCAATAGGAGCAATATAAATGTGATTGCTATGACATGCCCACTTTGAGAAACACTGGCTTTACTCCCCTTTTTAATTTTTTGGGATCTCAAAATAATGGTAGCACTCTTTTTCTTATCAGTATTTCCACTTCTTGTGATTTACCTAGTGTTATGTGGCATTTTTCTGAATTTAAAAAATAATTATTAAAGCATTAGGACTTGAATATGTGTCTGCAGTCAGTTGGCAAAGTGAAACATGCAGGTATCCACGGGGCTGGGAACGCTTAGACCAATTGGTCCTCAGAGAAAGAAATAAGCAGAAGGCTTTATATTGTAAAAAGTCCCTTTGGAAAATGTACAAACAGACACGGAGAAAATTAGCCACCAACAAGTCAAGAGGCAGGAATAACTCCGAAGTGAGCACACTCACCTGCCTGTTATAAATACTAATACTGGAGTCCACATGTGGTAGAATATACTTGAAAAGAATGACATCTTTTCCACATAACATCCTTTTTTCCCCTCTCTCTTTTTATCTTGTAGTTATTGCATTGGAGGAGAAGATCATTGTCAGTAAACTTGGAGACAACGCTACACTGAGTTGCATTTATCGAGGAAGAGAACTGCACTTAAAAAATTTACGGGTATATTGGCAAATAGCTGACGATCAAGAAGAGTGTTCAGTTGTACATGCACTGATCTCTGGTCAAGACAACGAAAGTGAACAGTGTATTCACTTTAAAAACAGGACTCAATTATTCTGGGATAGATTGGAAAATGGCGATTTTTCTCTGCTACTGCTAAACGTCAGCCAGAGTGATGAACGTAGGTACAAATGTGTAGTACTGCAGAAAACTGAATATACCAGAATGATTCACCAGGCAGAAGTGGTTCTCAGTTTAGCAGGTAAGAAATTGTATCCCTTGCACATATTTGCCCAAATTCTTATTCCAGCTTTTCACATTCGTGCCATTTCAATATTACATTTAAGCATGACCTTAACTTTGAAACGTACTTCAGCACTTTGCTGACATGAAGTCTGCTTAATTTAAATGTTACAGCTAGGGAATCCAAACCTGGGAGAACGCCTGTAACAGCCGTTTATCCAGTGTGAGGTTTTTTGCATCTTGGTTTTCATTAATATAAGGGCTCTTGCACATGACTGGGTGGCAGCAGCTTAAGAAGTTGCCTTCTGCCCTTCCAGTAATTCTCTCAGCTCTCTGGCTTACAATACCAAACCTGCAGGTGTTTCCCTTTCAAGTCATGAGGGTCGTGTGAAACCCAGAACTTCTGCTTCAGAACTCACATCAAAATTTTGTCTTTTCAATACATTTGAACATGTCAATGACTATTTCTTTTTCTCTTGCTCTCCAGCTAGTTATAGCCAACCAATACTCAGTGGACCGATAAGAAACAGTGGAGAGGAGGTGACTTTCAGCTGCAGGTCCGGCAATGGATACCCAGAACCCAATGTTTATTGGATAAATAAAACAGACAACAGCCACCTGCCTTCATCAGAGTTAAAGATCACCCCCCACGTCGACGGCACTTACAGCGTTTTTAGCACACTGAAGGTTAAAGCCACTTCTAACATGCAAATAGAGTGCTCCATAGAAAACAAAATACTGCAGGAAAATCTATCCGCCAACTGTAAGTCCCTTTGTGCTACTTCATGTTTTCTCAATAGCAGGAATATCAGCCAGTGCATCTCTGTCTGTAGATGTGCACTAACGAGGGGTGTACATTCATTCAGTAGTTCCAAAAAGCGCTGAGAAGACCTCAGGTTTTGTTTCAAGCTAGTTATGCTTAGCCACCGACTTCATGTTTACTTCTTCCACATTGAAGTGAACACCCCATCAAGCGTGCTGTAACAACGGCACGGAGAAGCTCTTGCATCTGAGGCAGTGACTGGGCTTTACCCTTTGGTTCTTCGGGAACACGATGACCTGGGGAGTCAGGTTATTTTTCAGGGGGCACCATACAACAGATCCACAATTCCTGAACGCCTACCTGACTGCTTTGCAGCACTCGCATTTGCTTTTTACTCTGCCTAGTTTCAAAGTTCTCTTTTCAGTCTCCAAAACTCAATTTAATACAGTGCACTGTTTAAAGTAAGCCTGGAGTAAGTGGATAATATTAGCCCAATAGAACCGTACACCTAATAGCACAAGTATAATATGCTATTTATTGCTGATACGAGTGATCAATAGTAAAAACAAGTATTTAGCCACTCAACTCTTCACAAAAAACAGAAAGCTATTTTAAAAAAAAATAAAGTGTATAAAAAAAATTATAGCTATAGTACCATTAGTGGATTTCATGATTTCCAAACAGCTGTGTAGAGAAGCTCTCTGGAGTGGGAGAGCTTATCTGGAGGTGGCTGTTCAGTCTCACTGCTGTTCCTAGTCTTGCTTCCCACCACACCTTTCTCTCACAGGTTTCTCCACCCTGGTGCAAAGAGGTTTGATTGTTTGAATAACTGTAGCTGGATACCCACAGTTTGTTTACCCAAACACACCAAGGAATCACATAGTCTGGACTTGATCCCACAAACATAGCCAAAAAATATAAACTATTTCCAGGAACAAAAATTGCGCGCACAAGCAAAAGTTACACAGTAGAGTGTTTATATGATAGCATACCCTTGCTGTCATCCCAAATTAAGGGAAAACTAGGTCATTAGTTTCCTAATGGCATTCTGTCGGAAAAGACCTTCATCTTGCTATTTTTTTGTTGGTTTCTAAAAGCACTACCACACTTGAGTAAGAAATGAGATTTGAAACCTTCAGCTTGCAGCAATCGGTGGAAATTCATCACAAGTTCAGGGAAATGGGTTTTCACCTACTTCTCTGAATACCATCAGATTTACATTATAGATCCTGTATCAATTTATTTTCAGCTGAGTCTAAATACAAGCTCAAACATACAGTCTCCCAAGGCTAGCAGGAAAAGAACAACAAAAAGGAAGAAAGAGGGATGCATGCAGTACGATGACAGAGAGGAATAAACTGTCATTGTATTATTGAACAGCGTAAGCTAGAGATGTGCCTTGCTCAGAAGGAATACTACCAGAATCACAGTGATACAAATAGCACAAATACTTAGTCCTTCAGATTATTTTTTTTTTTTGTGCATGTAAAATGTGGTCAAATATTTGTCTGGTATGAAATGTGAAAACTTACACCTTATTACATGCTTTTTCTCTTTTATTCTAGACACACAGCAGAAGCAAAGCAATGGTTCTAGCACAGAAAGTCACAAAAACCTGGGAAAGAATGGAAGAGGTGCTCAAGCAGCTGGCATCGTTTCCATTGTCATTCTGATAGGTGCTCTAGCTGTTTTAACCTGCTGGCTGTGCAGACGGAGGTCTTCTAAACTAGTGTCCTACACAGGTAATGAGGGCCTTCATTTGCATGATCAAATCCGAAGAATTCTTTTTCATTTGCTGAAATAGTTAATGCCATCCAGCACATTGCTAGAAGGTACAAGCAAGCTGCCTGCGCACAACAGCAGGAAATCATGCTGTTATCAAAAACCTGGGGTGCCCTGGGGAGGACACGTAGTGCCCCAGGATATGTTATTCTTTATGGTTTTCTGCTAATGTGCCAGAGCTGCACAGGAGTTAACTGCTGGATGTGAGAGTAACTCAGACTTTGGGCCTGTTCAGGCCACAGTTTCTCAGCTGCCATCCCCTGCAGACTGTTTCTGGACAGAGGGAGGGGATGCTCCTCCTCCGTGGAACAGGACTGGGGTCAGTAGGGCGCTCTGCTTAGCCCAACATAAAGCAGAAATCAGAGGATAAATCAATCCTGAGAACCCACTGGGATCAAGCAGCTTTCTACAGGTTAGAAACAAAGCATGTCTTGACTGTCACTCCCTGCCGTACATACGTACACTGATAGGCGGGCTGCGTTTGCCCACATGCAGGACTATTCAATGCTTGGCATGACAGAACAAAAGGTAGCTCTAAAACATGTCTTGTCAAACAGACTGGGTCTGGTGATGTACCTGAATACTTACTGTAAGCCACTTTGAAGGTATAAAAGAGCTAACATCTAAGAAAAGGGGGCAGGGGCAACCACACTTTTCATGGACAAGGACAAACCATGCCCTCTTCCTCATGGCTAGCAAGCCCAGATGCTTCAGGAAAGAGCAGCAGAAAATCGGGTAGGGATCTTGCCCAGCATCTGGGCTAGGAGCCCTGTCCTTCCTTCAAAAACAACCCAAGAGTGGTGCCAGACTCTGTCCTAAAAGATGGAGCAGGGCTGTTCCTTCAAGCCCCAAATCTATCCTTGCTGAAATGGTGACCTAGGTTGTAAGCAAATAGAGTAGGGACTGCATTTTGCTGTCCAAAGAGCATTTAGTACACTGAATCCTCAACTTTAGATGTTGCTTAATATTAATCCTGTTTGGCTAAAGACTATACTTATCTGTCCTACATGCTTAAAACAGTGCATTTGTTTCAACAGATGTCCAACCAAATGAAGAGAAAGGAGGACTCAACTGTAAGTATTAAAGATGTATCACTGTATTTGTCTCAAGAGTGACTTAACTTCATAGCTTCAGTACTCAAGTTCAGCATAAAGCCTTTGCATTAGACTTGCTAGATGTTACAAACTCAAGCATGTAAATTAGTAGCCCTACTTCTCTCAGCCCTTTCCCTGAGCTCTGTAAGTGTTGCCAAAAGCAGCCCAGGAGTCTTGGTTCCCAGATGTTCCTTCAACAGTTCAGGCCAAAGGACATGACAAATCAACAGGGGACACAGAGTGTACAGGCTGAAGCCACCCTCTCCTCCTGTTCTATAACAATGCTAAAGCTCCTATTGCCACCGAGGCAGAGCCAAACTTAGAAAATCTGTTTTAAATACTGATTTTCAAGTCCGGACAAGCACTGATCATTTATCACTTCGTATCACGTCAGTGCCTATCATCAAATTGTCGTTCCCTGCGTTTTTAGGCACTAGATCCTAGAAGGTCTTTAGCTGGGATGCAGGAACTTCATTTGCTTCATGTCTATCAACCTGAGCCTAGATACACCCAATTTTAAAAAAAATACAAAGCACTCTAATTTCCTAGGAAAAAAAATGTGCAGTTCAGACCTTCAGCATGTTCATATTTTTCATAAGCAAGAATGCAATATTGCAGGCCAGCTGGTTTACAAATTCATTTATAGTGGGGGGAAAAGTAAAAACAAGTGCAAAAAAATATCCAAGACAGATTTGGAAGAACAAACTCAGCACAGGAGGCTTGTAAGAGCACAGAGAGGGTAAAATATCTGCCTGTTTTATATGTCATTTGGTAGTTTCTCCTGAAGCAAATGACTGTTGCCAGGGTGTCTCTGCAGAACAGGCAGAAAATACCATGGTTTCACCAAAACTGTAATAGTTAAAGCACAGTTTGCTGTAGCAGATTCTGTGAATGTATGTTAAACAGAAGCAAAATAACCCTTAAATTAAAAAAGTCTTTCTGGAACTTTTTTGGTGGTCATGCAAACTAGATTAATGGTCAGTTATTTTTCAGACCCATCACTCAACTCCAGCCTGATCAGCAACATTTGTGTTTGCTAAACATTAACAGGCATTACACTGTTTCCTGTAAAGCATAATGCAGAAAGGAGGATGGATTTTCTCATTCTGTTCCTATGAGCTGCATTAACATGACACAAGCTGTTCATTTAAGGTCAACCTTTTCTTCTCCAGACTTACTTATACCAGGCCCTATTTGATTAGATCCCAGGGCTTAACCCATCAGTAGAAAAATCCTCTGCAACATAAATAAGAGTAAATATTTATCTTGTATCGAAGGCTGCTTTAGCACAATTTGTTCATTAACAACAAAACAAAAGCCTTCCAGACACTATCTTTTCCTTGGTATGTCTCCGCAACGTTTGTGGTGGGACAGCAGCTGTGGTGGTTTGCTGCTATCAGAAACTGTCCCACCTCTGAGGGCTGTTTTCTGCCAACAGAGCCATGTGAGGCACGGAAGGCAGTATCTTTTGGGCATCCTGATTTGAGGGCAACTTGGACCAATACCAGAGAAACGAGAATGATCTAGGGAATGTGATCTCTGATGAAGGATTGGTTATGTTTAGGCTGGAGAAGGCAAGCCTGATTAAGGACATGATAACAACCCTCTTCAGAGTTCTTAAAGAGGATGTTATTTGTTGTCCTAACCCAGCAGACACAGCACTTGAAGCACAAGCTTAAACAAAGGAAATTTAGGCTAGATGTTAGTAAAAATGCATTTCTAAGGGTAATAGTAGTTGAGCACGGGGGCAGAGAGTTTGTGCAGGCTGTCAAGTCTCCATCGGTCCAGGTTTGTTGCTGTTCTGTTTTTTCTTAATGAGAGAAGAAAGCAGTATCTGACAGAACTTATTTAGAAATAGCTGATACTACTTTGGGGCAAAAGATGGCCTCTTGGAGAAATTAATGTTTCAATGATCATTTGAGATTTTTCAAGCAAGTTGTGTGTGGTAGATGAGGAATAAAGCACTGCAGAGGTGCACCCACATGGACAGTCTGCCACAGCGTTTTGCTTTTCAGTACTGATGTACATATGTTTCTGATTCTGTGGGTTTCACTTTATGAAGAAGGTAGGATTGTTTCATGGGGTTGGGAATCCTCAATACTGCAAAACAGAAAGAGCTTTCTGAGACTAGCTTTGCTGTTTACAAAGAAAAAACAGTTTTGGAAACTCCAGGGAAGGCAGGTTGTGAAGAAGAGTAACTTCACTCCAGTAGGGTTAGTCTCCCCAGACACCCATTGTGGTCAGTGCAGCAGGATGCTCCACTGAGGAGAAATTCAGAGCTGGAGCAATTCTGAATTGCTCCATGGGGCAATTGCTCCTCCACTACCTGTAGAGGAGCCACGGGAAGCTGGTTTCCCTTGACCACAGATAAGTTTTGTGCATCTCACTCTCTGAAGCAGCTTAAAACAAACCAAAGGTGACGCTGACATCCCTTCACAAGGGACAGGGGTGGTAGCAGGAGACCACTTTTTCCATTTTCAGAAGGAGAGGCACTTTCGGTCTGTGGCACAGTGTCTCGTGTATCCAGGCAGAGGCAGGGCTTCACCCCAGCTGATTCCCTCTCAGCAGCATGAATGCATCTTTGTCCATAGCTTTGCAGCTTGTTCCATTGGTTGCATAAGCAAAACAACTCTAGGGCATCACTATTGCTAGGGATTTTTTTTCTAAAAAGAATTCATTTTGTTTTTACAGCACCTGTCTAAATGGAAAGTCTGTCAACAATTTGGGCAGCTGGAGATGCGTCAAGAGAAGCATCACCCCCTATCTCAGTGGCAGCATTGCTTGTAATACAAGTGACAGATTTCTGCAGACCATGCCAAGAGAGATGGCAAAACAAGCAAACAAACAAACAAAAAAAAAGGCTTCTCTGACACAAGAGACAGCAAAAATCTGCTGGATTTCGTTCCAACCACTGGCTGTGTCACCACACCAGCTAACCGCTATGGACAGTCCTCTGTGGTAGTCTGTCAGTGTATTGAGCTCCTGCACTGGGGAAAGCAGTAAGCCTGGGACTTGGCTACTCTGTGCCAGAGCACTGAAAGCTGGCGAGTGCCCAGTCTCTCATCACCACCTTTGAGGTCTTTGTTAGTAGCAGAAGCAACTGCGTTTCAGGAGCGTGGGAAGTTCTTGCTGTGTCTTCTTATCCTGATGATGACAACCTACTGAATGTGAAGAAAGGCAGCTAAAAAAAAGAAAGAAAACTGAAGGACTCTCTGCAAAGTGAGATTTGTGACTTTTTCCACCTTTCTCTCTCTACAGTACATCCTTTTCATTGTCTGGTTTCACCACTGCATGTTGTTGTGTACAGAACTAGGTAAAAGGTTTTAACCCAGTACTCCAAAAATGGGAGTTGCTCTGATAGGGTTAAGCACTGAATTTGTTAACTTAAGGGAACATGTATTCTTTAAATGCACTTGATATCAACATTTTGGTTTTTACCAAATATTCCACCAAAAAGGGGACTTCCACTTTTGACAGAAGCCAATGCATACTGTGTGAAAGAACAGGCTGTGGAACTCTGATTGATTAAAAATAGTGGTCTCTGCTATGTTAATGTTGGGTTACCTGGATTTACCCTTTTCAGGATGGTCGAGCTCTGCTCGATTCAGCTGGTCTTTTTTTAAACACACTCCTGTGGCTTCCAGGTAGGATTGTAAACTTTTTTTTTTTTTTTAATTAAACCTCTCCTTGCTTGTGTCCCATTCCTCCAACCAAAGAAAAAAAAAACAAAGGGGGAGGGGAAAAAAAAAAAAAAAAAAAAAGAGTGTAGATTGTATCACTGTGTTGTCCATGAATGTTCAGAAAGCCAAGAACTGCAGTTTCCTTGTGCCCCTGCCCATGCCTCGCTGGTTCAGCCCCAAGTCGGCCAAGAACTGAGTGGAAATAGCAAAGCAGTAAACTTTGCTGATGGTATGAAGTGTTGAAGGAAGAGGAATCTATACTAGCTGTCTTGCCTAGGTGGGGCAGTCTCCTCATCTTGTCATGGAGGGAGTAGAGATGATGATTCTAAACCGAGTCCTGGAAACACTTGGCTTCTCCAGTGTCAACTGTGAGCCAGGACATATTTTTCATATCAAGATCAGCTTTCAAACCCCAGCCAAGTGAAGATAAGTTTTGTTGTCCTGTTCTCCCATCATGCGGAATCCAGAACCATTTGGCAATAGCACAATTAGCTTTTGTTGAGGCAACATCGCCAAGGAGGCTCAGAGTTGGGCAGCTGTGCACCACTGCTGCACCAGTATCTTGAGAGAGGGCTGCACAGGATCGGCCTCCACGGCACATCAGAGACCAGGCAGCTCAGCTCTCATGTGATGCAATCTAGGCTTACTCGCCAATTTGAACAGGATGGGGAAATTGTTGTTTGTTTTTTTTAAGGAAAAAAAAATAAGCCAAGCTGCAACTAAATAATTAAGCTCTTGTCTCCTGTTCAGATTGTAAGTAACTGTGCACAATTGTGTTTTTTAAAAGACATTTTATCTATTAACGTAAAAAAAGTATATTTGCTAATCTTCAATGTCTGTGAAAAATACTCTGGTTTATTTATTAATTTCACTTCTATCTTCTCTTGCCTTCCAATCTACAACTGTAACATACCCTATTAGGTAGGGCATTTAGCTCACAGCATTTGTCAGATAAGGTTACTGAGGGGCCATAAGTTACTTTAAACATCAGTCTTTCCTCATCTTCTCTCATGTCCATGAATCTAGGTGTTAGGTATTTACTTTAGTCCATATCTAGTCTTCAGTGAACCCTAAAGGGAATTTGCTTGGAGAAAGCATGCATGCTTGCAGACACCTTAAAAATGTGAACATCTGTGCGGATGTGAAGGGTAACCATTTCCTAGTGGTTCAGTAAGAAGTCCTGCAGACATTTCCTCATTATCTATCACATGAAGCTGTTTTGCTCAACCTCTTCAGTGCCGCTGTAACTGACAAAAGCATTTTCTAAAAACAGTTTTCTTCTTTTATATTCTGCAACTGCAAGAAACTGT